GCTAGATGCTAGATGGGAGGAATATTAAAAAATAAAACATTGCCATTCTTCATCAAGAAAAACAAGCATTTACACACAGCTCCTCAAAGGACCCTATTTACAGTTCCTCCAGCATGGTAGAGTGCTAGAGTACAGCACTAGGAATGGGGTTGTAAAAGGAGGTGAATCAGAGACCAGTGCTGTTTGCTGCCTATCAAGATGCACCCAGCACGATGGTCTGGTGCAAAGGGCCAACTGCCCAGGCAGGACACAGAAAAGGAAACCTGATGTATAATAACGAAAAATTAACCAGCACGTTGTGACATTAACCACTGTGTACAACAACCAATTGACAGAGAACAGAAAAGAAACACTGTGCCTGTCAGTATTATATCAGAAAAGCTAGGAAATGGGTTAACCTGAAAGCAATTACAGAACAGGTTGAAAAATGCTTAGTTTGCATACACCAGAAATTATTACTGAAATGTAACACAAATAATACAAACAGTTAAACTTCAGAGGCTATACCCATTAACTTCCATGGCATTATTCCAGAAATTAATTTGCCTCCTGTCCTCTGGTGATGCTCAGCGTTTGCACTCACACACTGTCTGTGTGCGTACTTGAGGACTGACTCTACTTGCATTCAGTTGTCAAAAGTGACAGAATCGGTTGAATGTAAATGTCTCAGCAGGGACCTCCACTAATTTTAACAGTTGCAGACAGCTCCTTCCATACAAAGGGCCTGAGACAGCACTAACGTTGCTAAGACCCTTAGCACACCAGGGAAAGCGGGAGGACTGAGATGTGTCCTGCCAGGGAAGTCCTCCACCCCCAGAAGCCCAGCTGAGCAGATCCCCTTGAAGTTGTCTGCCATACAGATCAGGCAAGGTCCTACTCCATTGTAGTGTGGCCTAACTTTGCTAAAGTTGCTGGAAGTTTACCAATACCGCCAAGCTAAAGCTCTGATCTGTAGAAAATGACTGAGAAAGACATTCAGGTACTTATATCCAAAGCTGCATCTTCACGGTTACTTTAAGCTGACCCAAAAGTAAGCTGCTGACAAAGGAAGAGGTCTCACCAGCAGTTAGCACTTCTGTGCTGATGTGTGATAAGCCAGATAAGGTCCTCACCCCAAACTAACCAACCAGGCAGAAAAAATGGTTACTTGTCACCTGGATCGGCCTCTAGACTGGATCTCCCGCACAGCCGCACGAGACCTCACCCAGGCTGGCAGCAGTGCAGAACAGCAGCAACAAGAAGGAGGGTAGGAGAGACGGATAGCTGTTTTAACAGCAATCCACAATTACAACAGCCTTTTATATTTGTATATAGATATATATGTGTATATATAGTATATATACATATATATATATAGAGAGCGAGCTGAGGATCTGCCCTCTGCTCAGTATAAATCTCTTTTCTTTTCCATGGGAGATAAAAGGCTCTGTTTTAAATACAAAGCACAGGATGATTTCTATACAGGGCAATTTAGGAAGAGGTCCTGCACTAACATGATTATCTGTATAACTAAGGACTCCCTTTCTTTGCCAAGGTAATAAGCCCTGCCCTTAATCTTTTCTGCAGCAGAGTAAATATTACATATGGTGGCATTTCTAGCAGAAAGGTGCTGGTGTCATATCACGCAGGATTGTACATACAAGTGGCACCTTTTGAAATACCCACGGATTTGCAAGGTTTAAAAATACCGTGTAGCACTAGTGACATCTGCAGGAGCACATTGGTTGGAACAGCGGGAGGAAAATGCCAAAAATCGGGCTTCTATGAGAATCCTTCATAAGGCAAACCAGATCTGTTCACAGCATCTGCCTTCACAGGCATACCAAGGGATGAACAGGATCTCTAAACTGCTGGCTCAAGGGGTTAAACCAGGCACCTCCTCTAAATTGTGCTCCGGAGGAGCTTCTCGTTTTGTTGGCAATACAGGTGAGGAGGGTGAAGCTGTCCTCCTGTTTTACAAGGCATCTACACAGCAGTGTGATTGTCCTCCTTCATAGGAGTGAGAAATAAAAGCATGATCTTCGGGGGAAGTTGTGTTGCTTCTTTGGTCAGACCTAGGTACAGTGACCAATAGACATCAGTGTGAAGGGGACAAACACAAATTATTCTGCCTTGTCCTTCAGAAATTGGGGGAAAGGGAGCAGCTGATTGAAAATGTTTCCACAGCTCAAGAGAGAGCACATCAGTGAAGAGTCACTACTGGTTATATTGAGTGTTATTGCAACTGGTAGGTCTAACAAATGCTCTTCTGCAGTCATAAGGGAGATAAGATACAGTGATAAAGGAGAGTTCCTACCCCAAAAAAAAAACTAACACCATACTCAAGATTAAAACTTTGGGTAGAGTTGTATAGCAAGGAGAGGAAATGAGTGAGCGAGTACACACACGAGTGAAGATCAGAGCACTGTGCATACCCTTAAAGGCAAGAAAGTTTGTTCTGACCTGAAGTACAGTAGCCAGATCCTGAAAAAAGAGCTAGAGGGATTGGGAGGGCAATAGATTTGGTGATATATATCTTGTATAAGGTAAGTGGAGGTATTTATGGTTGTGTTAGACTGCTAACACATTAACAGCAACAGGTTTTACTCAGGGAATATTCAATTTCTGTGTAGTTCTCTTAAAAGAAAGATACTTTTACAGTACAGGAAATGAGAATGAAAACAGTAATGTGAGTGAGAACAGCAATCAGATCTCTGATATATTTAGTGAAAAAGCTGTACTGGTATGCCTGGGAAACTATTGAGCAAGGCTCACAGAAATATGTGCCATGGCATATCTGTAGGCACTACAACAACATGGAGGAACATGAATTACCTGATGCAAAATGGGAAACCAGGTACTATGGGAATACAAGAAATGTGGTGAGGTGGCAAGAAAAAAAAGAATAGTGTTGAAGGATGCAATAGTAAGGGAAGACTGATACAACAATAAAGTAGTGGTATAGCACTGCACAACGTGTTGTGGTAACCTGATAAAAATAAATAAAAGGAAAGGGTATGTTCAGGAATTGTTTTGAAGGAAGAAGGGCAAGAGACCTTTGTCAGCCTGATGATCTGTGAACTTCCTGGGGAGCCCCTGATCAGACTGGCTTTGCTTAGAAATCGCTTGTATGATTTCCTTCTGAGATACAAGCGATATCACAGATAGTCTTCCACTGTGGAAGTCCTCAATTCCCCAAGTACATCTGGGGGAGATCATGAAACAAACACAAAGTGACAAGCTGAGTCCTAGGCCAATCTCAGAAGTCCAGTCAAAACCTCAAAAAAATTTCCAAAAGACAGTGCATACAGGCACTCACGTAGCCCAGGATAGTTCCCAATCCCTCTCTCCAGTCTCATGGTGCTCCAGGGACTGATGTTGATATTGGTGATCCAGGTGAGGTTGGCCATGGCAGTTAAGGCCTATTAGGTGCCCACAGTGTCCTGACAGAAATAGCAGTAAGTCTTAACTGTTCTTGTCTAAGATTTGCTCAGCAAAAGGTCCTTCCCTTCACCAGTTCTTTTGATTAGAGCCCAAAGATTTTTTTAATGAAGGATTATGCTGTTGTTCAGTAAAGAAACTGAAAAGCCACATCTACAGAATCCAGACAGATGCTTCCTAAAAAGCTTGATACTGTCTTTTATTCAACTCTAGCTTTTGCACTTAGATACACATCTGAATATTGTCTATAAAAGCTTTTCCTTCTCACATTTTTATAGGAAATAAATTTCAAGTAAATTCTGTACTTCAAAAATTAAGTTTTATTCTGGTATTTTGAAACAGGATTTTTTCTCTTTTTTATATGTTAGAAAGAAAGGAAGTTTTCTGGTCACTCTCACTTACCAAATAATGCATATGTGGGAAGTTCCATATGGCTCTGTCAATCCAAGGGAGAAGCAAAATTTGCATTTAGCAGCAAATTTGTCCCTTACTGATGCTTTTCATCAGCAGGGACCCCATGCCATGGCTTGCAGGACATTCATTGACCATGAGTTCAGAGCAGGTGTAGGGACAATTTCATGCCATTGGCGCTGAGGTCAGTAATACATCTTACTTGTGCAACTCCCACAAGGACTCGCATTCACAAGAACTAGTGATCACCAGTGGCCCTGGAATACTTCCATGATCACACCTTAGACTGCCCTCATTCTGACAGTTCCCAGTATTTCTGCTGCCTGGCTGAAGGGTAAGGAGTACAATGTACAGAGGTCTTTCTGAAAATGTGTCTTTCTGTAAATAACTTCCACATCAGAAGAATAAAGACACTAATCTAGTCCCTCATCTAAATCACTCATTTTTTTCTTGCCCATAAGCTTCTTTCATGCTTATCTATCCTACTAACGATAGCTCACAATAAGTGAGGGAGGCAAGAGCAAATAGATTCCCAACTTATTTCTCAGTGTGGTTGCAAAGGGTGCCAGAAATAAGCCAGAGGTATTACAGAATCATCTGCCCATGTCCCTAAAAACAAGTTTGCACCACGAAGCACTGTCCAGTGAGAGTAATTATTCTGGCAACTTCTAACACATCAAGTAAGCCCAAATGGCGGCAGAGGTAGATGCTCCACTGCCCTTCAGAGGCGCTGGGCTTGTGCTCATTATCTTCTATCAGCAAACTACACTTAATTTTTCTAGGCCTTGCACAGGGCACTGCTGCAGACATCATGAGGCCTCAGGCTACTTAAAAATAACTCATTGCCTTTAAATAATACCACCTATGAACACAAATATAAGGTGAACTGCAATTAAAGATAGTTTAACAACTAGAATGAAGACAGTGTGGATACACGACTAGTGTAAGTCTGACAGAGGCAATACCCTTTCACCTGCCAATTGATATAGCTGGAAAAAGTACACAAACTTTGTACGAACATGTTTGTCTGAAGGAGGACATATTTCACAGAAGGTGTATCTAGGCTTTCTAACTAGATTAATATCCTGGAAGTGACTATCTCTGTTTTCAAACTGTGGCTACTTACATTCCTCATCCAGCTTCTCTTGAACCCTTTTTTCTTTTTCCTTCTAAAAAGAGCCAGATCTCAGTTTTGCAAACTTCTGGGGACATAATATCTTCATGAAAGCCATTCGAAATTTAACATGACAGAGAGGGTAGAGAAATGGATTCAGGGAGGAATTGATCCACAGAAGCCAAAAGGTTATTTCATACAAGGAGTTATGGACACAGGTTCCTTGGCAGGCCCCACGAATAATCATTAGCAAAGTGTACGGGGCCCAGCAAATGGCAAACACACAGACAATTATGGCAAGTGACTTCGCTACTTTCTTGTCCTGCTGCAGTTTTGACCTGGTCCTTGAAGAGAAAGAAACAGAGAATTCGTTTTCTGGGGTTACAGAATTGTGCCTGGATGGACATGAGCTGTCAGTCACCAAAGACTCTTTCTTTGGCCGCGTGGAGGAAGAAGCACTGTCCTCTGCTTCCGATGGAGAAGAAAACAACCCTTGCCTCTGCAAGAGGCAAAATCTCCAGGATAAGCTGCCTCTCCTTGGAGGCTCACAGTCCTGCGTGCTGCCACGCCGCTGGCGCCTCTGGATGTTGTGGAAGATGTGCACGTTGAAGTAGGTCACCGAGAGCAGCGGCACAAAGAACTCCAGGGTGGATGCGCACAGGAGGAAGTACCAGTTGTCAAAGAACTCGGCGTAGCACTGATCTGCTGCTACCACGCTTTGTCCAGCCACGTGCTCCCAAAAGAGGATTGCTGGGCAGTAGAGGAGGAAAGCAAGGACCCATATGACCACCATGCTGATGACAGGGTTGGACATTATTCCCTGCTGGGCTCTGTAAGATACCTGGGAGGGTAAAAAAGAAAGAGGTCACACCCATTTGAGAGACATTTTGGAACCAACAGAAGTAGCAGAAGAGGAACTCAGCAGGATGCTTGGTAATTCAGAGCTATGCTGATCAGCTGAACACCACCCAAGTATGTTTTATTAATTGATGCTGACATAGCATAGGGGTGTCTCTCTACAGGTTAATATAACTGTGCTAGGGTCCTGATCCAGGTGATGAAACATGGTCATCCATCAGTACCTGGTAATTTGGTATGCCTTGTTTGAGACATCCGTGGTCTCAAACACACACACACACACAAAAGTGTCAGAGTAATGAGCATTTTCTAGTTGTTCAGAGCATGACTCCCATTCACTGACAGCTGCACTGGTTTTTACAGCATTTTACAAATAGGACTATATGTGTCGTAGTGGTCAACAGAAAATGTGGCACATGTGTTTAACACCCACTTTTGGGAAAGTTGTTTATTGCACACTTCATGAGGAGGTAGGAATAGATTTCACATCTGCAATCCAGATTCTAGCTGATGAAACCACAAAATTATCCCTTTCCTTTCTTTCCCCCCAACTTCAGCACCAGTACATAATTTTATTTTCCACTGTATGTTGCAGAACAGATATATTGTAGTCCACATCCTGCACCATCCCTTTACATGGGATGACAGGGTGAGTGCATAATTCCTGGACCTTAGGTATCCAATTGGAAAAAAAAAAAAAGTAAGAGCTAATTTCATTAAAGACTATCATGCAAATGTCCATAGGACTTAATCACATTTGCACAGAAGCTCTTAATTTTGCACTTCGAAAACGCTGAGTCTTTGGCTTTCCAGTGTAATGTTTCTTGCTCATAAAATATTTTGGTGTTCGATTTCCCAGATTTTTTCCTTAAAGTAAAAAATAATAAAATGTAACAAAAGGGCAAATATAATAAGTACAATTAACTATCATTAACAAAAATAAAACCGAAATTCTATCATATGACATTACATTGACATTCTCATATGTCACCAAGGAGCTGGAACCTTTACTCTCCCCAACATTTCATTGCCACTGGAGTTAACAGAGTGATTAGTGAGAAATGCTGTTCTCCATCCTTAGCATGAACCTTACCAGCCTCCTGCGTTACCCTCTTCACCCCTCAGCCTGCTTTCCTGTTGCAGCACAACAGCAACCTACAGCTGAAATCATGAGAAAAGTCCTGTTTGACTGGTTCTGGGCTGGAGCATGCTCAATGCTGAACATTCACCACACCTAGCTGCAAATATCAAATAATCTCCACATGCCAGCACACTTTTGAGGGCTATGATCTCGAGTAAATCTGGGCTTATACTCATTAACACAGCAAAGGTTGGTGAGTATAATCCACCAGTGATCTTGTGATAAAATCAGAGGGTACTTACAGCTTTAGTAACTGACAGGAAACGGTCATAGCTGATAAGAACAATGTTAAATACTGAAGCTGTGCACACGAGATAGTCCATAGCCAGCCAGAGCTTGCAAACGCCTCTTCCCAAGTGCCATTTCCCTGTCAGGTTGTAAGGGATGTAGAGAGGTATGCAGAACGCACCTATGGAAAGCAACCAGAGACACCATGCAGTTCATACAGATGGCAAACAGTACTCCTGGAAGCAGAGAGAGACACTATTCTGGTGTTTGGCTAAAAAAAATAAATCTATAAAGGTAAATATGTAATTTACTGATTTTTTTTACATTCTCATGAAATCTAATGGTGACTTTCTATGTATTTGATCTTAGTGTATTTGGGTATGCTGATTGCTGGGAATAAGTTCAGGGCAAATCAGCAAAGAAAGATCTGCTGAAGAAGAAAACTGCAGCCTAACCAACTTACTGTTTCTAAATATATATAAGCAGTGCTGCAGCATATGGACACTCTGGTTGCACTCTGACACGTAACCTCCTTATCTATGTAAGAGTTTTCCCCCAGACTCATCTACAGACATTGCTAATGTCGGTTATGAATGTAAGATTGGTTAACATTTGTAAGCTAGAGACAGTATATTGGACGGGCTGTGTGGTATCTGGAAACCTCTTCTACCAAAGACAGAGCAGAGACAGCAGAGGTATGAAACCCTCTCCCACTTTTAAGGGGTGTTTTAGTCTCATGCTAGTTCTCCAGCTGAGATTAACTCAATAAATAATTTTTGATTTGTTACATTTGGTTTTTCTTCAACAGGCCTTACATTGAAGTACTTTTATAAGAAAGTAACATTTGTGTTTATTCTTAAGCCAGCAGCTTCTCCATTTTACCACTAAAATTCTTTCAAATGGTGCAATATCTGATGCTACATTCCTGAAAACGTTGATCCACCAGAGACAAATGTAAAACTATATGCAGCTTCAAGACCCATTTTAAACTCTCTCAGATTATTCTTTTTCAATATGTCCAGCAAGATCTTAGAAGTTACTTAACATACCGAGGTTGATGTAACCCACTGACAATAATCCTCTGGGAAATGAGCTGACAGACTGTTATCAACAGGCAAACGCACACAGCACTTTCAATACTGGTGACTTGTTTTAACATTTACCTTAAATACAAGCAGCATCACTTTCATACAAAACACTCATTTTTCAGAGTTGCTGATGACAGCTACTGCTCTCATCAGCTTCAGCGGGATCAGTGTTTGGCACCGCGTCAAAAACTAATGACTGCTTTCAGCTACAGATATCAATACAGATACAAGAATCAGGTTTTAAGCATTTATATTTGAATATTTTCGTTACCAAAAATATTATGAGTTATGATATGATGATATAACATAACATAACATAACATAGCATAGCATAGCATAGCATAGCATAGCATAGCATGATATATGGGATACGATATGATAATAATGAAATAAAAATATTTCAAGTATTTTCAAATATATTTGAGCTGTTCTCAATTCTACTAATTAGAGAATGCAAAAGACACGAGTCACATGCCTGGAGAAATTTCAGAATTCTAAAAAATTACAAAGATACCACAGCAGCTTCAGAAAATAAAGCATTTTCTGACTGATCCCAGAGGCTGATTTAAGATACCACAAGGCATAAGCCACTAACAAGAACTGATGTAGAAGGTAGATATTTAAATCTCTTGACTAAACTGTAAGATAGGAGGAGAAACAGACTTTTGCAGAAGACCTGAGCAATGAAACGGCAGCTCTAGCAAATTGTCTGCCTGGAGCAGGAAAGCAAAGGCTTCTGCACACATATCATTTGGTTTCTACCCCACAGCAAGAGGCCAAGAATTAGGCACCACATGTTATAAATGGCATAAACAAAAGAAAATTTTAAAGGCTAAGCTAACACACTTCACTACACAGCCCTGAGAGAGGAACAGTGGTTAGGGGGTACAGTATTGCCAAAAGTGGAGTAGGTTGATGAGTGCTATTTCCTCATGATCTGGTGAATACTGATGTCTGTGACTGTCCTGAAGAGAAAGCATTTGTGTGCAAAAATACCTCCTTGCTAGCCTCAAGTCAAGCTGGTTGCTGGAACATCTTCCATGTGACCATGGTTTTGTCAGCCTTTCTCTGCTGCACAAGGTGTTTCCTGGCCAGAACCTTGAAGGACAGATGCATAAGCCACTCATGCCTCCCACCTCCTCGCTTGGCATCACCCACCAGGACTGGATCCATGGTACCTCCAGGAACAAAGTCTCCTGGACTTCTGCAGTGACATTATGGGAAGAGGGGACTGATAAGGAAAACAGATGGGAAATGGCACCAGGCTAGTGCTGGCATTGGTCAAACCATCTGACCTATAGCCTGCATTAAGCATTGAATTGAAGTAAGAAGTTATAGTGGTAAAGTGTGTTGTTGTAGCGTAACACTCATATGCTGTTAGTACTATATAGAAAAGTAATTAAATTACCTGGACACACCACAGATAGCTGTGTAAGAAAACAGTTACACTGTCAAATATAAGGATGTTCTGAAGTGTGTGATCTTACAGGAGAAACAAAGGTAAATCCTTGGTGCCATCTCAAGGCATATCAGGG